TTGGGGACCGCTGCAGTAAATCATCCAAATAATGTTTCTAGATGAATCAAGTATGTAACAAGTTTAACAAACGCCAACATACACAATACACTTAAACAATAATACAAAATTATGGTTATTCCAAAGTGTTACACTGTGTTCTTGTTTGAAACAGCAGTATTTGTTACAATGAGTATATGTTAGAGGCTGTATAGTAATACTCTAATGATTCTTATTTGATGATGAAGCCACGTAAAACCACTGAAAAGCAGCCGCTGTTGAAAACAATTAACAAGTACTGACAGCATTTATTCATTCATGTAGGACAATTTATTTTTCACAAACAGGAATGCGACATGTACAGTAGAAGCTGCATTACCCTATCCATGACGGGTCACTGTCTCGGCATTCTTTAAGAACATTTTCACAAATGTCTGTCAAAGTAAAACACACAGAAAAGGAAAGACCAAAATTAGCATAATGAATATATTTAAACAAGACTGGAAGCTGATAAAACGTCTAAGTGGCATCTAACACCAGAGACACATGAGAGACAAGATGTTCTTTTACAAGTATTTGATCAGCACTTGATAAAACTGCAGGGAGTTTTGTGAAACTGGTTGACTTAGAGTCCTTACTAGCTATTGGTAACAAAGAAGCTGGGGTAATTTTACTTTTTTAAGGATTCATAACTTTGAGATTCACTTCACAAGTATACTCCTTTCAACATAAGAGTGATAACATGGTAGGTTTACTCACCAATAGCTCGGGACATAGAAAAACAGAGGGTTGTTGTGATAAAAAGTATAATCCACATTGCGTCTCACTCATCAACAGATATAGATTTGCTGTAAGAGGTCCACAGGGTGTTTTTCTGTCTGGTTGTGTTTGCTGAATGAGATCAAATGGGAGTTTCACATCTACATATATCACATGCTTTAACAGACCTGTGGTTCACAGCTCAGAAAAGGAAATGACTCATATCAGGCAATTTCTTTCGGTGCTATCACAATAATCAAGTACTTTTAAGTACTAAATTTTCACAGAAATATTAACTGTGTAGAAAAACAGTAGAGCCATTTAAGACTCCGTGAAGACAGTTCTAATATTTTATGTATTTTTAAAAGTGATAAAATAGAAACAGATAAAATTGTGTGCTGTAACTGAAGGACTGACATTAGATGATATCTAGAGTATGTCATTTCTAAAACATACAGTTTTCCTGTGTATGTAGAAGAAAACAAAAAGTCAAGTGAGCATGGTTAAGAAGTGCTGATACTTACAGCTTGCTGAGGAAGCAAAACAGGAACTTGCGCCACACCAGTTCTACAGGTTGCAGCACACATAGTAAAATAAGATGCAAATCTTTGAAAATAAAGTCTTTGAAGGTAACTGCACTGCAGTATTTTTCTATTCTTCCTGACCTGTTTCTCTTTACATAGTCTATTTCATTTCTAATCAGAATAGCTCATATATTATTCCAAAAATTCCGTTAGTAGTGGTTTGTTTTAAACTTACCTTAGATCTAATGAGGTTTGGTGTGATTGACTTGTGGTATTACAGGTTTATCATTTTAAGTAGTGGCAAGGAAAGTTTTCTGTTCTTCCTCTGCTAGTGGGTAACCAGATCGACAAGAAGATGTGTCAGACACCTTCATAAAGACATGCATAAATGATTCAAAATTATATATCAGGTCTAAGAACTTCAACAGATGTCATAAAAAGTGTAGCACACCACCCGTTATACTGAGTCTAAACCCTCTTACATCAGTTTAGACCCACTATTTTGGGTGTTGGATTAGTTATTGCATCAGATTCCACAATGGTTTTGGTATGGACAGGAATCAGGGAAACTAACCATAAACCCCTTGCCTGCAGGTTACACTTAAACACTAATGAAAGAATTGACCCCAGACAACTTAAGCACAAGAACAGAACATTTACTGTACTTTGGTGCAGCATAAAAATGTACAAAAACACACATTTTTATAAATTCAAATGATATCACAGTCACTTCAGCAAATGAAATAGATATTTTAAATTAAATAATACCTTATGAAATAATATTAAGCAACACAGAATCAGGTTATCACATCTTGGTGGTGTTGTGCCAAAATGTGATTGCCAGTCAAAAACTGACTTACGGTATTTGCCAAGAAGCGACTGCCTGTAGTTGCACTGCTAAAAAAAAAACAAAACCAAAAAACCCACACTTGTTGGCCTATGCTATGTGAAACGTGTCAAATATATCCCTCATGAATGATATCAAGTCATCTTGAGCCACAAACAACATCAGTTTTTGGCAAAGTGACTTTTATACTTTTACTATCCAGTTAAAAAGTCTCATTGACATTAAAAAATGGCTTTTTAAGAGTAATCTGGCGAAGAGGACAACAGAAATTGCAACAAATATAGCAAGGGTTCTATAAAGATATGTTAAGTGGCCAAAAAGTACTGGACTGGTTATGTATGTACAGTAATATACATGCAGTCATAGAGATATAAAGTCATAACTGTTATTTTTTATTTTATATGCACAACCTCTTTGTAAATCCTGTTCACTAAAGTCCCTTGACCACTATAAGTAAAGACACTGCACATAAAAATGGAAACACAGTGGCTCTGTCGGTGGCTGCTCACCAGTCCACTAAATCCAGTTCTCGGCTCCTCCTGAGGACACCGCGCTGTCTGTGCTACAGCGCGTCAGTCACTTTACAGCTCTCCGACGGTCCATATCAGGGTCCGTTGATCAGACGAGTTGTCGCGACCAACCTTTAACCTTACCAGTTGCAGTTGAAAACACCTTTCTACACTGTGGTGCGACTCTCGGAAACGTCACCTCACACTGTTAACGTCTGGTCACACACAAACAAAGCCAAGTATGTCGCACGTGTTGAACTGACACCCGTGTGTGTTTCTCCGCTACGTTCTCTCCTTCTCAGTCTCCGCTCAAAACTAATATGCTACCTTCACAGATCTCTAGAACATTTGAAGTTGCATAAGAGGGAATTATATTTTGTGATTCATATGGTAGTTTTGTTGCTCTAATTAACTACATTTACCTTTGTGACGTATTAAAATGCATATTACATTTAGATTATATTTAGATCACATGGGTTTAACTGTGAATACCATATATTATTGTTGCATTTAAGCCCATGGGAATTTTGAGTACTTACTCCGGAATTCTCATCTCTTACCTTTGGCGCCTTTGGCCAAACCTCAGAGAACTCTTACAACCCAGCGAGAATATATTAAAAAACAAAACAAAAAATCTGAGGTTGAGAAAAGAACTGAGGATTTAAACATGTAGAAGTTAAGAAAGTTGATTTCTCTAAAAAATGTCAAACTGAAAACAGACCACTGTTGCACCCTTTATTTGACGTCTGGAATAAATGGTGCATTAAATGCTATAATAATAAAAATGAGTCTCTCTGGACCACACCTGGAAAGGAAGGAAAGTTAAATCTCCATAATGAGTTCATTGCAATGGATCTATTTTACTCTTTTTCCAGATCTTTTCCAGATGTTAATATTAGTTCACTAGCTCAGCTTTGCAAAATCCACATTTTGGTTAATTGTTTATCATATACATGGTATTACATATCTGAATGAATTCTGAATAAATCAGTCAGACCGACTTATCACACTGATGACATCACTATATTATAAATCGGTTTTATAAAGAATTGTTATCTATTTAACAGGGGGTTGTCCAAAGGTCACTGGGCTATTGGTGCATGTGCTGAAATGAAAGCACAGTTAACCTAACATTAACCTGGATGGATACAGAGATATTTTTCACTAGCATATTACATTTTGAAGAAATGGTCTAATTCTTCAGTGTGTCGTGTGAGAAAGTCTGAAAAGGGCAAAGTTAATCATGTGTTCAGGTCCATAGAAACTTAATGACTCTTCAGTGGGGTGGCTGTGGTTCATGTGGTAGAGCAGATCAGCTACTGATTGGAAGGTTGGCGGTTCGATCCTTGGCTTCCCCAGTCTGCGTGTCAAATATCCTTGGGCAAGATACTGACCCCAAGTTGCCCTCTGATATGTTAATTGGAGTGTGAATGTAATTAGTTTGCACTTGAGTTTAGAAGTGCTTGGGTGAATGAGGCATGTTGTATAGAGTGCTTTATGTACTCCGGGAGAGTAGAAAAGTGCTATATAAGAATCAGTCCATTACCATATATCATGTACAACTTTATTCAGAAGCATACATCAGAATACTTTAATCTCTAAGGAAGTTATGTGGGTTATAGTTGCTCCAAGACACTAACAGTAACAGACTAAAGTAATTAAATATGTTACAGAATTTTTTAAAAATTAAGAAATAGCTCTAATATATACAAATTGCTCAATTATACATATCACAAATATTACAGAGGTAAAATATATATGATTGACTAAACCGAAAAAATAAATAAACAGAATATAAACAGAAAAAATATTAAATCATATAGACAATACAGACATACTATAAAGCAATAGTATTTAAAGTTTCAGTGTGTTTTTAAATCTAATATAACAGAAGATTACATGTAGAGCAGAAATGGTAGAGAGGAACTCTAATCATATTTGATTTCTGTAGTTCTCACAGGAGCTGAAGATGTTCGGTCCTCCTTAGCCCTCTTTCTCTGCTTCTTTGCTGACAGACAAATCCACAGGAAGATAAAGAAACCTTATCAAGAAAACCAGAGAAACAAATGAACAGATCAGACACAAAATGCTCCAATCACTTGCACACAAACACAAACCACTAAACTGACCTTGTGTGGAGTTGAGGATACAGAAAAGGTAGAGAATGGGGTAGTTGATATATCCAGAACCCAGGAAGGCCAGGCCCCATGTGGTACCCATCAGGCAGGTAAGACCAAACAATGTTAGGCCACTCTTACAGGATGCGTTAAACCTCTCTCGTACTTCCCATAATTTCCCCTTAGCTGTGGCTCCTGTCTTTAAGGTAGTCTGTAACACTTGTTTCATCTTACATATGCTGGAGGCCACTGCCATGAGAATGCCAGTGTTAAAGACAAAAACAAGGATGAAATATACCAGGTTCATGGAGTAGAAGAAGGTGTCGTCAGTGATCCAGCAGCTGTAAAACAGGCAGAGCTGTCAAAGTACAGTTTCAAAATCTGTGGCTGCATAGTCTGCCTACAGTCCAGCATACAAAGAACAGAAACAGTATAATTTCATAATGATATGAAACTTGGTTGTTGGTACTTTATGGTTTCAACGGTACGCACTTCTTTGTAAGACAGATCTTACTTTAATAGCCAGGAACATCCTGTAAAGAACATTTTTTTCCAGTGCGTTTGAGATTTATTTAATTTATTTGCTATCCTGATTACAAACTACATAATGTTCAGCAGGTTTTTAAATATGTCTGTGTGGCATGACAATTCTCACTGTGGCTACGTCTACACTAGCCTGGATAAATTTGAAAACGGGGTATACGTCTGTAAATGTTCCGCATCCACACTATCGCTTTCAGTCATTTTCACAGAGTTGTTCGTCCACATTGAAACGGGCAAAAACGCTTACGTTCTAGTCCTGCGCTTGCATGAAATGCAAGACAATTTGACCTGCCTCATTTCTGTCTGCCATTTATTTACTTTACGGCTCTTTAAAACGTCACAGCAAAAATATTTAGGAAAAGCGCCGAGTTTTTTCAATGGACTAACAATGAGGTGGAGTTGGTGCGAGTAACATAAAAGTACAAAGTTGCAAAAGCGAGTGAGAATTAAATAATTTGAAGAAAAGCTCTCTGGAGCATGTACAAACTGATATTAATCTTTAATAGTCAAAATCGAGAGCAAACCAAACTACTGCTGTATAATGCCCTCCGCTATCTTAGTTTAATCAGTCACATGACTGTATCACATGACTAAAATGTGTCATCGTTTTCGAAAAGGCTCCGGGTTCGCTGTCCACACTGTGACGCGAAAACTGCATTTTCAAATGTATCTGCTTTGGAGAGTGTTTTCAAAACGCTCCATTTGCCAGTGTGGATGGAAGGCCAAAAGGTTTTCAAATAAAAACGTATTCATGTGGACATGGCCTGTGTCACTGTGTAGCGGACAGGTTGCCCATGCAAACCCAGTCATGATTTTGGATTCCTATTGCTAAAGGCGCATAGTGCTAGTTTATAGTCTTGCCAAAAGCAGCTGGTTTACTTACATCGAACTAGTTTGGTTGGTGTCAGCCATGGTCATGTGTTTAACTCCATAAAACTGTTTGCAATCCATCACTCCTACAGAGACCGCCACAATTACAGCAGGAATACCTAAGAAGCACACAATAAGACACAGACACAGTTTAACACCAAGTTATTTACTATCCAAGAGGCACCCAGCATATGAAAGACTTCATTCATAAGTTTAGGGAAAACTGGCAGTCAAGTGAGTCTGAAGAAGCCAGACATATTTCTAAGAGATGTTGTTCA